ATTTGGTCTCTCGTGAGTGCTTCCATGCTGAATTTTGGCATAACAGCATTACATTGTGGGTGCCACCACACTCGGCTAAAATTTTTATTTTGAGATAGGATGCACTAATTGCCCAGGCTCTCCATGGACTTGTAAGCCTCTCTCAGCCCTTTGAGCAGCTGGAATTACAGGTGTGTGCCACATGGTACTGCTGGGTTTTGTTTCACATGAATCTATGTAGTACAGTGCCTTCTCTAATAAGTAGTTTTTTTGATTGCTTTTTTTTTTTGAGACGGGCGTCTTGCTATGTAGTCCGGGCTGGCCTCGAACTCACAATAATCCTCTTGCCTGAGCCTCTGTAATAAGTAATTTTTAAATAGGTATAAAACATTTATTTTCTGTTAATACTTTTTTGTCTACTTTTATGAATTATTTGCATTAGCCTCTCAGATTTCATGTTCAAACTGATCCAGTTAAAGAATACCTCAATCTGATCAAAGCCATCTATGACAAATCAACAGCCAGCACCATACTATGTTCTTTTTTTTGGGTACTGGGATTGAACTCAGGACCTTGCACTTGGCAGGCAGGCGCTTGTGCTGCTGAGCTATATCCCTGGCCCCTCCAGCATCGTACTAAATGGACAAAAACTGAAAGCTTTTACTTTAAAATCAGGAACAAGACAAGGATGTCAGCTGTCACCACTCCTATTTAGGATAATTCTGGAAGCATTAACCAGAGCAATTAGACAAGAGAGAGAAATAAAAGGTATAAGGATAGGAATGGAAGAAGTAAAATTATCACTATTTGCAGATGACATGATACTTTACATGGAAGACCCCAAAAGACTCCACAAGAAGACTCCTTGAATTAATCAACAAGTTCAGCAGTATAGCGGGATACAAAGTCAACACTCAAAAACCAATAGCATTCCTATACATAAACAATAAACAGACTGAGAGAGAAATTAAGGAAACCATACCTTTCACAATGGCATCCAAGAAATTGAAATATTTAGGAATCAATCTAACAAAAGAAGTAAAAGAGCTATTCAATGAAAACTACAGTACTCTGAAAAAAGAGTTTGAAGAGGATTTCAGAAAACGGAAAAATATTCCTGGCTTATGGATAGGAAGAACCAACATTGTGAAAATGGCCATACTACCAAAATTGTTGTACAGAGTCAATGCAGTCCCCATTAAAATACCATTAGCATACCTCACAGATCTAGAGAAAACATTCCTTAAATTCATCTGGAACCAGAAGAGATCCAGAATAGCAAAAGCAGTCCTGGGCAACAAAGATAAGTCAGATTCCCTGACCTGAAATTATACTACAGAGCTATTGTAATAAAATCAACATGGTACTGGCTAAAAAACAGACCAGAGGAGCAATTCTCAGTTGCAACTAGCTATGTTTAAGATGTACTTTATAAATAGGACAGAGTACTTTTTTGGAGACAGGGTCTTACTATATAATATAGTACAGGCTGGCCAGGAACTTGCAGGGATCTTAAATCTTATTATGGCAAAAACTCAAAAGAGTTTCTACTTAGGTTTATTGAGCTTTGCTATTAAGTAGTCAACTCTTTTTCATTCATTCATTTGATATAGGCTCTCACTGTGTAGATCAGGCTGGCCTTAAATTTGAGATCCTCCTGCCAGAGCCTCCCAAATGCTAGTATTTACAGGCATGTGCCACATGCCTGGCTTATCAGTAGTCAAGTCTTTTCCTTTCAATGGTACTAGGATTACATCTAGGACCTTCACACTGAGCAACAGCCCCAGGCCCTTTTTTACTTTTAGAGAGGGTCTTGCCAAGTTGTAGAGGGTGGGCTTGAACTTTTGAAGCTGCTGCCTCAGTTTCCTAGAGTGCTGGGATGATAGGTATGTACCAACATGCACTGTTAGTAGGGAGGCTTTGTGTGTGTGTTTGGGGGCGTGGTTCTGTGTATTGAACCCAGGCACATCACACTGTGTTACATTTCCAGCCCATTTTCTTTTTTCATTTTGAGACAGGGTCTTTTCTAAATCACTAAATTGTCCAAGCCTGGGCTTGAGTTTGTGATCTTCCTGCCTCTGCCTCCCAGAGGCTGGGGTTCCAGACCTGCACCACTATGCCAGACCTACTGTCTGCTCTTAATGAACTAGATAGTAGCCCAGCTGAGAGATTGATCAGTCAACATGTTGCGGTGGCAGTTGCTCAGGAAGTTACCATTTGAAGCTTTCTAATGTCCCCAATTACTGCATTTTTATTCAGACATGAGAATTGTGTCTTAGTAAGACCCATAATAGTGCTGATGGCTCAGGGCCAGGGCGCTGCTGGGTTTCTGTAGTTTCTGGATCCTAAGTAGGTAGCTCTTTGAAGGAGTGATGGGTCAGTTTAAAATACTAGAAATTTTCCAGGTGTGGTGGCGCATGCCTGTAATCCCAGCACTTGGGAGGCTGAGGCAGGAGAATTGTTGAGAATTTGAGACCAGCCTGGGCTTCAAAGTGAGCTCAAGGCCAGCCTGAACTGCTTAGTGAGACCCTGTCTCAGAAAGACAAAAAATAAAATAAAACACAATAAAATATTGGAAACTGTTTTGTTTCCATTCCTAAACAGATAGCCCATATTTAAGTTTGTTATGGTTGCTTGCTGTGTCTTCTAAGTCAAGGACAAGGAACTTCTTTTGAGTGGAAGGAAAATTGTTTTTAGCTAAGCAGACTACAGTAGCTTTTGACCTTAATACCATTTCCTTTATCTGGACCTCTTTTCCTTGTCTCTTGTGAGTTTTGAGAAAGGTGAGGATGGCAGGGTTTCAACCTGTGTATAGTTGAAGAGGTAGTGGCAGTAAACTCCTCTTCCTTTATCTATCCTTTTGTCTTTTCTGTTTTCTTTGTGTTTGTTTCATTTCTTTGTCCCTCCTACATTTTGCTTTAGTGATGTACTCTGCTGTGGTTCTGTGTGTATATCTGTGTATATCACACATGCAGATAATACAGACATACATTAATAGAAAGCTGGCTTCCTCAGCTCACAGTGTAATATTTAGAATGCTAATTCAGCATTTTTATGTGTCTAACAGAAACAAAAAATTAAAATTATGGCTAATTTCAAAAACATTCTTAATGTTTTTGTTTGAACCATATGAAATTATCAGTATTATTTTGACCTGCAGAAATAGATTTAATCTAATACAGTGGACCCTGGACTTACAAACTCAATTTGTTCACAAAAGCTGGTTACAACTCAAGTTGGTTGTGAGTCAAGAGTACTTTTCCTGAGGGCTGGGGATTTAGCTCAGCGGCACAGCGCCTGCCTGGCAATTGTGAGGTCATGAGTTCGATTCCTGGTACCGGAAAAAAAAAAAAACCAAAAAAAAAAAAAAAAAAGGGTACTTTTCCCATAAGAAGTAATGGAATTCCCAGCACTCGGGAGGCTGAGGCAGGATTGTTGGGAGTTCGAGACTAGCCTGGGCTACAAAGTGAGCTCAAGCCCAGCCTGAACTGCATAGCGAGACCCTGTCTCAAAAAGACCAAAATAAAAGAAGTGATGGAATTACCCTTACTATGTTCCAAGCCTCCCAAAGTACCTCTTATCTGACCTTTTTATAATAAAAAAAGGGGTTATATAAAGTGTCTAACCAGAAACACCAAAAATTTTCCTAGTGTATTCACTAGGAAAAAGCTATAAAATGTTGGGGGCTAGGGGTTTAGCTCAGCGGCAAAGTACCTGCCTGGCAAGCGCAAGGTCGTGAGTTCGATTTCTGGAACTGGAAAAAAGAAAGAGCAAAAAAAAAAAAAATTTAAAATAAAATGTGCCTAGTTTACCAGAAACAACAATTTCATGCTGTACTCACCCGTTCAAGTGGACATCTTTGGTTTGCAGAAAGGGAGGATGCTATGGAAGGTGGTTACTGTTTGGAAGGAGAGTCCCCTTTTGTAAGAACATCAGCAGTCTGGCTTTCTGGTGTCTTTCCTCTCCTCAGGAGAGTCTGTAGCCCAGTAGGGCCTGCATCTGGTTCACTAGGTCTCAAGGTTTCAAGAACTAAAAGCCGATCTAAGGCTGTCTGTTTCTGTCTTTTCTTTAACACTCTTAGATTATGATCACATTCTTTACTTTCCCTTCCTTTCTTAGCTTCTTTTCTAGGTTTTTGGGGCCATTTTGATAGCATATATAATCGTAGTGATTATATAAAGCACTGACTGAAATCGTATCCACACACATGCACATCTGGGCTCAGACTGATGCTTGCATGTTTTTCTGGCATTCCTAGTCTTTCTTTGCAGCTGCACAAGTGACCAGTGCTCTCAGGTCGTAACTCAAGACTTTGGTCAGATGTTAAACCTAAAACTGATTGTAACTTGAGGGTCCACTGCTTCTTTAAACAGCCTACAGCCCAAAACTAGAATTTGGAGATTGATTGAATGATTGGAGTGAGTTGGAGGATTAGATATTTATAAGGGCTTCTACTTGGGACAACTGGGTAGATCAGAGTTCCATTATGATGCCAAGCCCATTGACCAAAATGGAGAAAATTGAGATGTGTAAGTGATTGTCGTTTCTTAAGGTTTCTGGGGAAGAAGGGAACACATCCAAAGAGAAATACAGTAGTCAGTAGACAGTTGGGAATGTGGATTGTAGAGAGAGTCATTTGAAAACATGAGTGTGAATGAAGTCACCATGGGAAAATGTGGAATGAAGAGAAAAAAAGATCTGATGGCTTTTCCTAAGGCCTGGAAAGTACAGAGAAAACTCAGATCAGGTCTCTATGTGAAAGACTATATTCGTCATTCTGGAACAGCTCATTAGTATGTCAGATGAAGAATTACATAGTCTTAAAGTGTTATATTTCACTTCTGGCTCATTTGCATGTTAATGTGTAAAAGCATGGGTTAAGGATTTCTCCCTGCCCCCATAAGTGATTAAACTGCCTCAGCCTATCTATGGGTAAACATGAGCCCTATAGCTTTGAAGTGTTGTGGGGGTATACCTAGTTTCTCTCCAATGTCATTCTGTCTTATCTTCCTTCCCTCCAGCCTCCATCCTCCCCCTTTTGAAGAGGACTCTCAAGTGGTGGACGACTGGAATGTTTGTTTAAGTTACGACCCAAATGCAGGTTGCTTATGCGGTTGTAAACAAAGATGAGGGATGCCAGAAAAGCGTATGTAAACATAAGTAAGCATCAGTCTGAGCCCAGATGTATGTGTTTGTGGACGTGGTTTTGGTGAGTGCTTTATATAATTGCTACAGTTACTGCTGTCAGAATGGCCCCCAAAAAGCTAGAAAAGAAGCTGAGAAAGGAAAGGAAGGTAAAGAAAGCAATCACAATTGAAAAGAAGAAGGAAATTGTGGAGAAATACGAGAGTGGCATTCGTGTGACTGATCTCGCTAATATGTACAGTATGTCAAAATCCACCATCTCAACAATCTTACAGAGAAAAGATTTGTATAAGGAAGCTAGTGTTGCTAAAGGTGTCACTCAAATTAGTAAGTCACGACCAACAGTGTTAGATGAAGTAGAAAGGCTGTTATTAGCGTGGATAAATGAAAGGCAAACAGCAGGTTACAGCCTGTCTGAATCTGTAATTTGTGAAAAAGCTAGGGCTATAAATGCAGATCTCATAAAGGATAATCCATCAACAAGTGATAACGGTAAAACATTTCGTGCCAGTAAGGGATGGTTTCACAATTTTAAAGCAAGAACTGGGATTCAGAGTGTAACTAGGCATGGTAAAGCAGCCAGTGCTGATAAGAGGGCTGCTGAAACTTACATGCACTGCTTTGAGAAGATGACACAGAGAAGTAGCTTTGGCGCTCATCAGATTTTGAACTGTGATGACACTGGCCTTTTCTGGAAGGAAATGCCCAGGAGAACATCCATAGGCTTGCAGCTAGACAGTGGTGATGTTGAAGAACTGGTGGAGGAACACTCAGAAGAATCATCTACAGAGGAACTTCATCTTCTGGCTGAGCAACAGAGAATGGCAGCTGAGGAGCTTTCTGAAGAGGAGGGGAAGTATCAACAATCAGTGCAGCAAAGTTCTTCTTCTGAAATAAAGGAAATCCTGAAAAAATGGACAGAGCTACAAACATTTGTACAGAAGACCCACCCAGACAAAGAAAAAGCCAATCATTGCATTCACTTGCTTAATGACAATGTTATGTCATACTACAGAACAGTGTTAAAGAAAAGACAGAAACAGGCAGCCTTAGATCAGCTTTTAGTGCTTAAAAGCTTGAGACCTAGTGAACCAGAAGCAGGTCCTACTGGGCTACAGACTCTCCTGAGGAGAGGAAAGACACCAGGAAGCCAGATTGCTGATGTTCTTACAAAAGGGGACTCTCCTTCCAAACAGTAACCACCTTCCATAGCATCCTCCCTTCCTGCAAGCCAAAGATGTCCACTTGAATGGGTGAGTACAGTATGAAGTTGGTGTTCCTGGTAAACTAGGCACATTTTATAACTTTTTGGTGAACACACGGGGAAAATTTTTGGTGTTTCTGTTGAGACATATTGTACAACCCTTTTTTTGTTATGAAAAGATTAGGTAAGGAGTGCTTTGGAAGATTTGGATCGCAGTATGGGTTATTCCATTACCTCCTATGGGAAAAGTAGTCTTGACTCAACGAACTTGAGTTATAACCAGCCTTTCTGAACAAATTGAGTTCATAAGTCAAGGGTCCACTGTAGATTGTTGTTTTTGTGAAGTATGCTCCATTTTAACCATGCATATGTAGCCTGCCACCTGTTTGTTTGGGGTTTTTTTGGTACTGGAAATCAAACTGAGGACCTTGCACATGTCAGGCAGGTGCTGTGCTGCCAAGCTATATCCCTGATTGTTACCGGTGCTAATTTTGAGGTGCTTGCTGTAGCGTTCCATCTGGTGCCTGCTTCGCCTGCCTTACCTTTCAAACCCCAGAATCCCTTCAACTGAAGCTTTGCAGGAGAAGGTTTCCATGTGAAGGAGTGCTGTCCTGCCTGGGTGTGGTATGAGTAGTTCTAGTGATATAGGGAAAAGAAACTCCCAACCTGCTAGATATCTGGTATGAGTTCCTGCTCTCTAAAAATCAAAGAATGAATTTTAGGAACAACAGAGGTTAACAGCAGAATGTATTTATTGGGGGAAAGAAAGCTTCTGTCAGAGAGAGAGACAGAAGAGGTCCCCAGTGGGTTGCCAAGGAACCTTCCTTTTCTAGGGACTTTTATAGAGCAATCCATGAGGTGAGGCAGGTCCAAGGTGGGAAACATGGGAACTCATGAGGTGGACAAAACTATGGTCAGCCAATAAGATTATAAGCATAATTGCTCAGGTAAAATTGATTAAATCAAGATCAAATGGGAAAATGAGTCACATAGCAAGCTGGCATGAATACAGAACAGGGGCTTTTCAACTAGCGGAGTGGGTTAGTGACTCTTCCTGGCTTTCTCAAGGTGATAAGACCTATTTAGAATATCAGTCCCTGATGTTTATCCCTAGGGAGGTATGTGGGTTCATTTATTTTATCTTTTGTCTTGAGGTCTGGCCCACAGCTGGGCGTGTCTGTCTCTCTTACAGCTGCAAGGTTTCTAGTCTTTCTTGCACTGGCTCCTTTGAGGCCTAGCCCTGTCTGAGTGCCTATAATATTTCTGTCTTAACTCAGTTACCTATAACACTAGTTCCATAAATTAACATTAGCTCAAAAGTCACATTAAATTTTCCAGTTGTTTTTTTATCCGATAAAAAGAGATCAGTATGAGGTTATAGTAAAGAACTGTTTCTTGCTGGGCATAGTGCCATGAGCCTATAATCCCAGCACTGGGGAGGCTGAGGCAGGAGGATTCGCAGTGAGTTCCACGGCAGACTGGGCTACATAGTAAGTGCAGAGCTAGCGTGAGCTACATAGTGACACCCTGTCTCAAAAAATAAATAAATACCAAGTTTTATTTTAGGATATATTTGAATAGAATAGTTTGTGGTAAAGATTCACAACTAGTTTTCTTCAAAAATGTAAAATCTCAGCATTGCCTTTGTGCTTTACAGTACTTTCATAATTTTTCTTTTCTTTTTTTTGAGACAGGGTCTTGCTGTGTAGTTCAGGCTGGCCTTGAACTTACCATGTAGCCCAGGCTGGCCTCAAACTTGTGGCACTCCTTCTGCCTCAGCCTCCCAAGTGCTGGGATTATCTACTTTTATAATTTCATTCTTTTACTAATTTCCATAAGCAGCTCCTCCCTGCAAACACGCAGATGCACATAAAATCCTTTTTGTTTCACCTGTTGCTCTTAGAACTCTTAAGAGCTGCTTTTTTTTTTAAATTGATGTCACTGGGGAGCCAACCCATGGCTCCTTTACCACTGGACTCTTTCCCCAACCCTTTTGCTTTATTTTCAGATAGGGTCTCCATGTTTCCCAGGCTGGGCTCAAATTTTTTATCCTTCTTAGTCTCCTGAGTAGCCAGGATTATAGATGTGTGCTACCACACCTGTCTTGATTGACCATTTTTAAAGACAAATAAGCAAGAATGAATCAGGTAATGAGTTTGGCAGTAAAATATCATTTTTCAAAATATATATTGTTTTTTGGTGTCTTTTTTTTTGTCTTTTTGAGACAGCGTCTCGCTATACAGATCAGACTGGCCTTGAGCTCACATTGTAGCCCAGAATGGTCTCGAACTCACAATAATCCTCCTGCGTCAGCCTCCCAAGTGCTGGGATTACAGATCAGACTGGCCTTGAGCTCACTTTGTAGCCCAGAATGGTCTCGAACTCACAATAATCCTCCTGCCTCAGCCTCCCAAGTGCTGGGATTACAGGCGTGCGCCATCAAAAAGTATACTGAATGAAGAGCAAATTTCAAAAGAAGACACTTACAAATGTGATACCAATTTTATAAATTCTTACAGGAATAAAGTTTTAGTTTCTGTAATGTTTCTATTTATTTTTTATTTTATTTTTTGGTACTGGGAATTGAACTCAGGACCTTGCACTTGCCAGGCAGGCAATGTGCTGCTGAGCTATATATGTAATGTTTTAGTAAATAAAAAACTAAAGTGAGTATGGCAAAATGTTAGCATCTGTTATGTTCAAGTATTACATATTTGGATATCTGTTAAACTGTTTTCTACCCCTCTTTGTACATTGGAAGTGATTCATAACTAAAGAGTTAAAATTTTGAATGAGTAGAACAAGCAGTGTAACAAAACAAGAGGAAGCCGGGCGTGGTGGCACACGTCTGTAATCCCAGCACTCGGGAGGCTGAGGCAGGAGGATTGTTGTGAGTTTGAGGCCAGCCTGGGCTACAAAGTGAGCTCAAGGCCAGCCTGAACTGCATAGCGAGACTCTGTCTCAAAAAGACAGAAAAAAAAACAACAACAAAACAAGAGGAGCTTCCTTAGGTAGGTTGGTGGAGGATCTTTCTGTGGGGGGTGACATCCTACGACTCGATTAACAGGAAGGAGTTAGTCATGCAGAACATGGAGGGCAGGAGTATTCCAGGCATAGCAGCCATTGTGGCTGTGATCGTGAAGCAGCAGCAAGCATGACATGTTCAAGGCTGGGCAACGAGGACCATTTGATCCCAAGAGTTTGAGGCCTGGGCCACATAGTGTGACCCCCTCTTAAGTTAGAAAAGCAGCTAGGCAATGGAGTATAATACACAGTTTTTACAAATTGTAATTTCTTAAATATGTGTGGGGTGTTTTTGGGGGGGCGGGGTACCGGGACTCAAACTCAGAACTTTGCAATTGCCAGGTGGGCACTGTGCTACTGACCCATATCCTGTGCCCTAAAATTGTAATTTCTTGGTGATACTCAAAGTTCTTCTTTATATATAAGGTAGGAAGAATGCTGGAGTGGATGTTCAGTAGATCTCAGTACTGTCATTGATTCAGGCAAGGATAATCAGTGAGTGCCAAAAATCTGTAGTCAAAGGTTGTTGAAGCTGGGCGCGGTGACGCACACCTGTAATCCCAGCACTCAGGAGGCAGAGGCAGGAATATCACCATGAGTTTGAGGCCAGCCTGAACTACGCAGTGAGACCTGTCTCAAAACAAAAGAGAAAGAAGGGTTGCTGAAAGTTAGGATATTCTACAGTCTCAAAGTATCACTCCCTGGGTTATTTTCTGACTGCAGAGGGAAAGATGGGCCTTTAACTTAGAGGTCTGCTTGTTACCACCTTAAGCAAGTGCTCACCCTGCGCTGTGTGCGCCTCCCTGCTGATTCCCTGGCTGGAGAGGCTCCTCTGTGGGATTCCAGCTCACAGTGTTAAACTGGAATTCAGTAGTGAGCAGTTAGGCCAACCCAGAACGTGGGACCTTCTGAGACAACAGGTCTGGACTTTTAACATGTAATGTCATGAAGAAATGGTGCGGGGGGGAAACAAATGGGGAAGTTACTATGCTGAAGTGCTCAGAAATGAAGTGATATTTTGTGTGCAGCTAACTTTGAAATGGATCATCAAAAAAAAAGGTGGGTATGACAGGAAATTAACAGTTGGGGAACACAGGAGGTGAACGGCTGTGAGTGTGTGCACTGTACTGTTCTTTCAGCTTTTTCAGTAAGTATTTATGTATTCAGAATTAAAGTTGGAGGAGTATATACTCCTGCTTTGAGCCTAAAGCAGCTTTTTGGTATTTTCTGCCCACTAGTTAATGGTGCTGTTGGGAGCTACCTTGACGGATTTGTGCTCTTTCTCAGGAGGTGTCAGTGGTGTTAGTAGCGATTGTGCAGGTAATTTTTACGTAGTATTTATCGAATGTGTGCTACACCACACCAGATTGTGGCACAACACATTTCTCACATTTGTTCAGTTAACTTTTTTTTTGTCTTTTTGAGACAGGGTCTCGCCATGTAGTTCAGGCTGGCCTTGAGCTCACTTTGTAGCCCACGCTGGCCTCAAACTCCCGATCCTCCTGCCTTAGCCTCCTGAGTGCTGGGATTACAGGTGTGTGTCAACATGCCTGGCTTCACTTAACTCGAGTTAATAGTTACTTTCACTTTTAAAGATGAAAAAGGCAATACAAACTGGAATGTTTATCCATAAAGAACAATGAAACTATGCATTCGTGGGGAGATGAATGGAGCCTGAAACCGTAATGCTAATGCCAACACGTCAGACACAGAAAGTTAAATACAGGCATTGCATGATTTCTGTTATATGAAAAAACCTGAAAAATAAATAAATAAATTAACAGAATAAAGGCAAAATGATGGAGCCAGGCGTGGTGGTGCACGCCTGTAATACCAGCACTCAGGAGGCTGAGGCAGGAGAAATGCTGTGAGCTTGAGGCCAGTATGGGCTACATGGTGAGTTCAAGGCCAGCCTGAACTACATAGCGAGACTCTGTCTCCCAAAACAAAACACCCAAAAGAAAAAAAAAGGAAAGATTCTAGGAAACAAGGTAGATGTTTAGAGACAGGGCAGGGAGGAAAGTCAGGGATCAAAAATCATCAAAGCTGGGCCAGACAGATAGTTCAGTGGCACATAGCCTGGTAAGCACAAGGCCTTGAGTTCAATTCTTTGTACCAAAACAAAAACAAAAATCAAAACAAAAATCATGAAGCTGTGTTACAGGCATGCAGTTCCCCAAAATGAACACCATTGCTCTATCGCAAACATACACTAATAAAAATATATAATAAAGAATATGCTTATTTTATTGTATGTATCCATTAACAAATTTTTATCTTTTTTTATATCAGGATTAAGGGAAACACATCATTTTTAGTGTGAAGTTATTCTGTATTTGTATTTTAACCACTGTATTCAGATACCTTTGAAATACAAAATTAGGTGTATTTATGTGCCAGAAAACAAAGATGGAAACACAGATGCTTAGAAAGATATCACTAAGGCAACAGAAAAATTTTTTACTTTAATAATGCAAATGTGAGTCGGACACAGTGGTGCATACCTGTAACCCCCATGCTGTGGGAGGCTAACATTGGCGGGATTGCAAGTTTGACCCCACCTGGGTAACTGAGCAATTTAATGAGAACTTGTCTCAAAACAAAAATTTTTTTAAAAGGCTGAGGATGTAGCTTGGTGCAAAGGCCCTGGGTTCAGTTCCTAATGCTAAAAAAAGGAACACAAGTATGAATTTGTGAGGCTCGCTAAAATAGTCATTGGTGGACAGCACCATGGAAAGTTTGTGTTCGAGTCACTCAGTGTGCACAGTTCTCCGGCCTAGAACTTGTTGTACACACCAGCTACGAGTGCAGTCTAGTGTGGTGGTGAAGAGCATAATTCCTGAATCCCAGTCTCAGCATTTGTAAGCTGCTACTACCTGAGCAGCATTTCTCCAGGAGTGGACCGTCTCCTAGGGCTTGGTAGCCTGAAACAACACACATGGATTATCCTATGATTCTGAAGGCCGCGTGTCCAAAATAGAAGTCACTGAGCTAAAGTGAAGATGTCTGCAGGGCTGCATTTCCATTTGGAGGCTCAGGAAGTGTTTCCTTGCATTTTCCAGGCTCTAGGGGCCACCTACATTTCTTGGCTCATTACCTGTATCTTAAATCCAGCAATGTTGTCTCTCCTTGCCCACTATAGTAACATCTTCCTCTTACTGTCTTCCAGTGCCTCCCTCTTGTACTTTTAAAGGTACTGGTGGTTACGCTACGCCTCCAGGGCTCCTTTAGGGTAATCTCCCTATTTTAAGGTTAGCTTTGATTAACTGATTAGGAATCTTAATTTGATCTGCAACTTCATTTCCACTTTGCCATGTGACCTAACATTTTCAGGTTCCAGGGATTAAGGCCTGAACATCTTTTTTTTAAGACAAGGTCACGCTATGTAGTGCAGGCTGGCCTCTAACTCATGTCGATCCTCCTGCCTCAGCCTCCTGAGTACTGGCATTACAGGCGTGCATTACCATGCCTGGTTTAGGGCATGAACATATTTGAGAGACTTTTTATTTTATTTGTTTGTGTGTTTTGCCTGTATATTTCTATGTTCTAAGGAGAACATGATTTCAAATCCTAGCCAATGCTGAGGACTGCGAGTAGAACCCACTGGGTTTGAGCTAAAGGCACTACCAAGTGGTGTATGTATGTATTTACTAATTCTCTTATTAGCATAAAATATGTTTAGTAAATTTAATATTGAAGAGTGCTTGAAAAAAAAAAGAATGCTTGAATTTGAATTAGAAGGTATCTAAGTTTTAGTTACATCATAGAAATTATTACAATATTAGATACATTTTACTGCTATTTTATGCTAGATTTTTAAAAAAATGAATTACAATTTTAGGGACTCTTCAAGTTCATTTTTTATATTTTTATTACAGAGTTTTACTACCTCTGGATGCTACTCTTAATATGGAGAATATTGAAGAACACTTTGTTAATCTACATATTGTTAAATGTTCCTCAGAACCTAAAGAACCTACTTATGTACTTGACATAGATGCGTCAAACACTGTACAAGCAAAAAAAGGAAGTTTGGTTGCTGTTCTATGTTCTGATGGATCCGTAAGAATATATGATAAAGAAACATTAAATGTGCTACGAGAAGTGAGTGGACACCCTGGACTTCTTAATGGAATCAGATTTGCAAACTCCTGTGACTGCGTATATTCAGCAAGTACTGATGGCACGGTAAAATGTTGGGATGCTCGCGTAGCTGGTGAGAAGCCTGTTCAGCTGTTCAGGGGTTACCCTTCCAGTGTTTTTATTAGTTTTGATATCAACTGTAACGATCACGTCATTTGTGCTGGTACAGAAAAAGTTGATGATGATGCGTTGTTGGTATTTTGGGATGCAAGAATTAATTCTGAGGCTTCGTCCACTACTAGAGAACCACTTGGTGTGTACTCAGAGACCCATAGTGATGACATCACTCAAGTGCGTTTCCATCCCAGCAATCCCAACATGGTCGTCACAGGCTCCACTGATGGCTTGGTAAATGTGTTTGATATTAGTGCCGCTGATGAGGAACACGCGCTGGTTACAACGTGTAACTCCACTTCCTCAGTGAGCTGTGTTGGTTGGTCTGGGAGAGATTATAAGCAGATTTATTGCATGACACATGATGAAGGATTTTGTTGGTGGGATCTTAATCATTTAGATACTGAGGAGCCAATTACATGTTTGAACATCCAGGACGTCAGAGAAACGATTAACATGAAAGAAGATAATTTGGACTATTTGATTGGAGGTCTATATCATGAAAAGATAGACAAATTGTTTGTTATTGGAGGAACACATAAAGGAGGGATTCACTTACTGAGCTGCACCCCATCAGGACTGACCCCCGTGACTAGCCTTGGAAGCGGGCATGCTGCCACAGTCCGTTCTTTCTATTGGGATGTGCGGGATAATGCTTTGCTGACAGGGGGAGAAGATGCACGCTTGGTGCTTTGGAAATCTGGAGCTATAGAGAACACCTTGAAAGATAGCATGAAAAGAGCGTTCTCCGAGCACCAGAAGGTACTCGTTGATAGTAACAACTCCTACAAAAGAAGGAGAAAGCAGTGATATTCTATAGTATTAGATGTTTATTTCAGCTGGGGATACAGCTCAGTGGCATAAGTGCCTGCCTGGCAAGCACAAGGTCCTGAGTTCAATTCCCAGTACAAAAAAAAAAAAAAAACAACCCTCAGAGCATAGATGTTTACTTCAGAGGTTTTATAATCTCAAGTTTTTGGTGTATTACCTCTGGTAGACATGTTTAAAGCTTTTTAGGTTATAACAGTCAAGTCAACAACAACAAAAAAACCACAAAAAACATGAGCAAGTTAGCTAACAGTACTGGACAGATTGTGAAAATTATTTAATTCAGGTCTGTATGTAGTAGTCTACAATTTGTTTGAGACAGAGACTCACTGACCTTGAACTCACTGTGTAGCCCAGGCTGGCCTTGAACTCAGTCATTCTCTTGCCTCCGCCTCCCGAGCCCTGGGATTACAGGTGTGCGCCAGCATGCCGGGCTTCTAAAATATTTTTAAAACCTTTGGTTAAGTATAAAAACCAGTGAATTGAAAGTAAAACTACGTCCTCATTGTTGAAGCCCATGTGTTCAGTTAGAAAATGTTGGGTTTAGCTGGGCATGGTGGCGCACACCTGTAATCCCAGCACTAGGGAGGCCGAAGCAGGAGGATCATTGTGAGTTCGAGACCAGCCTGGGCTACAAAGTGAGCTCAAGGCCAGCCTGAACTGCATAGTGAGATCATGTCTCAAAAAGACAAAAAAAAAAAAAGAAAATGTTGGGTTTAAAGAAGTAGCTCAGGCTGGGCATTGTGACGCACGCCTGTAATTCTAGCACTTGGGAGGCTGAGGCAGGAGGATCGTTGCAAGTTCAAGACCAGCCTGGTCTACAAAGTGAGCTCAAGGCCAGCCTGAACTGCATAGCGAGACCCTGTCTCAAAAAAAAAAAAAGAAGTAGCTCAGATTGGTACTCTTTAGAAGTAGAGTAAAATTTGGGTTTTCTTTTAAGCTCCTAAGTTATCTTCATTCTTTATAGAATCAAATAAAACTATTATCTTTATTTGAGTTTATGCCTCCCCAATACCCCTAAAATTATTTTGGAGTATTTAAATGTAAACATTATAGTGAGTCTAGATATAATTAAATTTTCTTAGAAATAAAGTATAGGCATTTATAAAATG